TAGTAATAGTAGCACAAATGTAATTAAAAACTGTATATACGTTAGAGAGAAGCCTTTAAATAAAAATAAAGTTTCTACGTTGGCAATATAAAAAAAAAAAAAAAAAAAAAAAAAAAAAAAGTTTCTCAGTCTATGGAAATTGATTTAACTGAACTCAACTTTGTTCAAACTATACTACCTCCTCCATTTAATAACTCTACCTCCAACACAAATCAAACTATAAATAGCCAAACAACTTCAACTTTTTTCAAACTACCTCAAGCATCCAAACCTACCGCTTCTACACCAGTTATAACTACTCAACTATCCAATTCAAATACACTTATTCAACCTCAAACTTCAATATCCAACAAACCAGCAACCAACTCCACCACCCAATTACCAGGTCCTACTATCAATAATAATAACCAAAACTCTATCCAACTTCTCAACAATACTAATCATACTAAGAATAACGATAACAGTACTAACAATAATACTAACAACAATAACAATAGCAACAACAACATTATTAATTATGCTTCTGTAGTCAAGAAACCTAAAGTAAACCCCTCTTTCGATTGGTTCTTCAACTTTTCTATTACTGAAGAAATGAAACCACAAACTAAACTAAAAATACCTATGGCTTTCCAACTTTTTGATTTTCTCAAACTCCACCTTCACAACTTTTACCCTGGCAAGATCCTTAAAGAAGCCAACTACAGGAACCTCTACCCACTTAAAGCTAACTTCTGCTACCTCATCTGCACTATGGCTGCAGCTCAACCTCAATTCCTATTAAATTTTATTTATACTAACAACTCTGATATTGACCCCAAAGCATCTATTAACTTTAACATCTTAGAAACTACACTCAAGAACTTAATCTATAAATTTACTTTCATTCTTTTTACCCAATTCAATTAGCATGAAATTTTTGCCTCAGCTCTTACTATACCTTCATATAAGCCCAAAAACTGACTCCAATTCTGTCTCAATCTCGCTCGTATGCATCTATACCTTTCTGAAAACTACCAAAGTATTAACTATACCAAATTTGCTAAAGATTTCAACCTTCGCCCTAAAACCTTCTCAATTATCTCCTATATTATCTCTATAGATCAAGATAAAGCATACTTTACAATAAAATCTGATCATAAATTTAATATCAATCTTCTATTCAATTTATCACAATCCCTTTTCTTACACAAATTCAATATCCCTTCACTCAAAAACTATGAAAACAACTTTGATAAATGGTTTAAAAATTTCTTTCCAATCTATTAATGTCAATCTACATTAATTAACAAACAAGAAACATATAAAAACTTTGTTTCCTTATTAAAAAAGAATTCTTCTTACATCTTAAAAAACTACTACCTACTGAATATACCCCTTCACAACCTACAAACCTGTTCTAAAGACAACTTGAATATTCAAGAATCCTCAATTTTCATATGCTTATCTGTACAAGAAAGGAATGCTCTTATATTCAAAACAATCAACATAATATTCCAGACCTTCGCCAAGCTATCAAAAAAGAGTTCAATGAATTATATCTAGCACAAGATAATGAAAACCAACCTATCTTTACTATTGACCCTTCAATCTTTCATATCGACAACAAATACCCAGCTACTTTTCAAAAACCAATCTCTACCAGAACTATTGACAAACTTGCAGATGAAGCCGAAAGACAAATCTGCAAAAATCATTCTACAACATTTAGCCAAGGTCACCGCAACTTTTACTTTTACCAATACTTATAAGCTTATCAAGATATAGCTGCAGAAAATCACAATATTTCAGACTTATCCAAAAAAACAAGCCATTGAACTACTTACAAATGACATTATATCTACTGAGTATCTAGCTGAGTAATTACATATTTTGATCTTTTCTTCCAAGAGGATAAAACCAAACATACTTTCCTCAAATCTCTAAACACTACCTAACTTCTGCTCTTCCCAAAGCTGAAAAAATCCTGTCACTTAAATTTAATATCCAATTTGAAGTTCCTAAAATTGAAGACACTTTGTTCATCAAAGAGGATTCTTTTTTATAAACTTGTCTTCTACAACCAACATGAAAGCAGCCACCACTTTTCTAAAAGATACAACTATAGTAGTTAGAGAAGAGAATAATATAAGTAGGCAGGTGGGTAAGCCTATTTACTCGGAAGAAGCAGATAATGATGATACTCTAATGCTTAACCAGAGTATTTCTACTCCTTGCAGAACCATGAGAGCTGGGTATATGGCGAGAGAACCTGTAGAAGATATACCTAAAATCTATATTACAATTCCTAACATCTCTTATGACATTTTTGTCTGCTATAACAAATTTCTTTTATCACTAAAATCTCCACCTCTTCCACATCCTCAAACAATTAATTCTTTCTTTTTACACCTACTTAAAATTGGTTTATGGAATAAACTCTACGAAAAACTTGTTATATTTATCAAATCTGACTGTGAAGCCCATATTTATTTACCAGGAGAACCCTGCCCTTTACCTGACCACATTATTGTACCCTATCTCAAAACTATTTATCTCAACCCCTTTATTCCTCTTAAATCATATACTCATAGCTTCTATAATAATACCATTCCACTCTCTCTTCTCAATCTTTCAATATGTACACACAATATTTGAGGTTTTAACAAAAATCTCAAACAGCAAGTTTGGGAACATTACTGTCTTTCCAATAATCTTGACATTATTTGTCTAACTGAAACCAAACTAGCTAGCAACAGACTTACTTTAAAACCTCTTAAAATATCACATTATACCTATTTTCAATTCTGTATAGATAGCTCTAAAGCTGGAACCTCTATCATGATCTGTAACTCCTTAACTCCTTATATACACAATACCAAATCCATTCCTGGCTATGCTATTTCAATTGATCTTTTTTTCAAACATGATTTCAAATTTCGTATTATTTCTACATACCTTCCCTGTGATAATAACTTTACTAGACTCGAAACTCAAAACACAATTATTCAATGGATACAAGAAGCCTATACTCTTAATATACTCCTTATAGTACTTGGAGACTTCAATGCTTTCACTAATAATATCCACTCTTCTTCTATTAAATATAAGCTTCTGCAATTTCTCACATATAACAATATGTACAATCTTGCCTCACACACACTGCCTCTTCTGCTCCTACTTGGCATAATCATAGATCTAGTAGTGAAATTGACTTTATCTGGCCTATCATACTATCTTAACTTATCTCACTTCCTTTAACATTGATAATACAGATACAAACTCACTAAGCGATCACAAAATTCTTATTTCATGCTGGACTTTCCCTTATGCTCTGCATGACCAACGCAAACATAAAACATGTACTCGCAGAAGAGTCTTTAACTACAAGGCTATGAACAATACAAAATGAGAAGAATTCTCAAACCAAGTTAATACCAACCTTAATTCTAATCAAACTTCTTCCTCATTCAACACTTTAGAATCTCTTGAAACTACCTGGCATAAAATCCAAACTAGTATAATTATGGCTGCTCTAAAACACATTCCCAACAAAAAATTCACTGTCCGTAACTTTCAACATACATTCTCTTCTAAGGCTACTCACCTACACTCAAACCTTAAAAAACTTCGCAACATTATTTGACAACTTATATTATTAAAACTGTTATTATTCTAACTACTAAATATCGGCTTCACAATATTGTAATTCCTCTTTACAAATGTAACCAAATTTTGGGCAAATATCTTACTATAGCTAAACACAAAGCACATCTTTCTCGGTCTACCCCTAATAGCACACTCCTTAATTACAACTTTTATAATATCCATAATATTTGGGATATACAACTACAACACCATATTAGTAATTTTCTCAACCGAATTAACAACTCTTCTACTCTTGACACTACAATACACATTCGACTTCAACACTTTTAAAACATCCTTTGGTCCACAACCAACATCCTTCAACACCCTTATCCTATTATCGATGGTCCTAATAAACACACCACTACTTTAAAAATTATACAACTTTTTAATTATTTACATATTTCTATACATGTATACTCAGACTCCTCCTGGCCCAAAACTATAAATAATAACAATACTCTATTTGAAAACATTCTTTCTAATCACCCTAAATACAATACTTTTAAACAACAACTTAGACACTATACCTAGAGCAACTTTGTTCTGCAGACAACAAGACTTTGTTAGACTGGATACACCTATTACCTAGAATTTTACATATTCCCAAAGGCAACTTAGAAGATACTATTCTTGAAAATAATCTATCTCACACTATTCTTCCCCTCTTTTAGCCCAATGGCTTTAACTCTTTTGCATATCAAACCAATCTTATTCCTAAAACTCACAAACTCTGGGTTCTATCTTACTACAATGAGCATATTGTAATCGGTCAAGTTCGCAGAACTTTTTTACAAACAAACACTATCTCTATAACACACTGGCAACATAATATTGACACTTCCATCTCTATTCATTACCCGCTACCCCCTATTTCTTGCACACCTTGTCAAGGCTATAACCTCAACTCTAATCGCATTTCTAGCTGCTGTATTTTAGAAGTATCTGCCATTCTTTCTACCCAATTCTTGGGAAGGAAAAAAGCTAACAAACAACTTAATTTTAATGCAAACTATTTTGACCTCATATATTCTACTAATATCAAACATCCTTTTGAAATACCACTATCACCCTCAATTAATATTATTGACTCTCTTTTATTCAATATTTTCTTTAATAATGAAGCTTCTCATCAGCTCTTCCAGATCGCATTAGCCAACTCATTCTAACATAAATTTATTTTTTATACTGATAGATCTGTTAAACAACTTGGTACTGACCAATGCTCTATGGGTATTGGCTGGGTTCAAATTCATAACAATTTAGTTATACAAAACTTCTCTGCCCAAATCTCTAACTGGCCCTCTTCCTATAAAGCTGAACTATTAGCAATATTGTCTGTTATCTTTACAATTCTATGCAACTCCAGCCTACAAATCTATACAGATTCACAGTCAATTATATCTAAATATAACATACTTCTTACTTTATCCTCTCACTCTACTAAATACTTTAAATTTAACTCTTGGTCTATCTGGCATACACTTTTTAATATTTTAAAAACCTTTAATATTCAACTCTTTTTCTTCAAAGTTCAAGCCTACTCTAATGACACTTTTAACAATTTGGCAGATTCACTTGCAAATAATCATTCTACCTCCCCAATATTATCTTTTAACTATACTAATTCTTATAACCCTACTTTATTCTATTATGGAAAGATAACTTTATTGATAGCCCTTCGAGACAATTCACTAAACAAATTTGCAATGCACATAATATAGCTCTATGGTCTTCACAAAACCATGCTCAAGAATGGTCTCACTTTTTGACTAGAATGCTTCTTGGTTATACTTCAACAATAATCAAAAAACTTCACACAACTTCACTAACCCCAAACTAAACTATCTAAAATCTTTCAAAATCAAAATGCTATTTAATATACTACTTACATATACACA